ACTTGTGTGCTTCTGCAGATCTGCTTAAATGAGAACACAGAACTTTAAAAATGTGAAGTGACAGAGGCAGGAGTGTAACACTGAGTCTAGCCTGGCACACACACCAAGTTCTGGACAACATAGCAAAATACTAGCAAAAGACCAAAACTGAAGGCTGGGGATGTACATCTCAGTGGCAGGGTTTATTCAGCATGCAGGAAGAGGAAGCCCTGGGCTAAATCCTAACACTACATAAACCAGGTATGGTGGTGCCTGTAATCCTAACACTAGGGATTTGGAAGGTCAGAAGTTCAAGGTCATCTTTAGCTCCAGTTTTGATAGGAAACCCAGTGTGTTTGAGAGAGGTACACACCAAGGCCAAAAATGTGGGGCACAGTAGTGCACACATATAATGCAAGCACTGGGGAGTTTAAGAAGACCAGAAATTATTTTCAACTTTGTTTAGGTCACTGACTCTCAGAGAGAAGAGGAAAGAATGGGGGTGGGGGCAGGGAAAGAGTATGAGTTAATGAATTTGAAGCCAGGTAAGATAATGTGCTTTTGTAATCCTAAAACTTCAGACAAGAGCAGAGGATTGGGGTTCAAACCAAGCTTGTTACAATCTGAGGACAGTCTGGACTACAATGAGACCCCGTCTGGAGTCCATGAAAACTATACCATCAAAAGTCATCAGAGCAGCAAGGCAGCAGCATTTTGTTTCACCCTTCTCCAGGCTCAGTTAAATACGGAAGTTACTGGTGCTATGATTTGAAATCTACAGACTGGCTCGCTGACCGGCAACAGTTCCTTGGAAAGTGATCAAGAAAAATCTTTGTTTGGGCTGAGAATATGGAAGAGTGGCAAGAACATTTAGCTAGCATGTATAATGTCCTGGGCACAGTCCCTAGTACCTTAACAACAGTTATTGGTTGGTTATGGTGTCCCATCCTGGCACTGAGGAGTCAGAGACAGGAGGGTCTCTTATGAGTTGCAGGCCACTCTGGTCAACATAGTGAGTTCAGAACCAAACAGTTTTGTTTGAGAAAGCAAACATCTGCCAGGCGTTGGTGGCACACGCCTTTAATCCCAGCACTTAGGAGGCAGAGGCAGGTGGATCTGAGTTCCAGGACAGCCTGGTCTACTGGACAGGCTTCAAAGCTACACTGAGAAACCCTGTCTTGAAAAACCAAAGAGTAAAAATCCTGCAATAGTTAGGGTATAGGTCTGCTACGATGCCCAGAGAACACAAAACCTAATCTCTGAGGATGTTTGCTCAGAGTTCAAAATCAGGGGCTAGGAATCAAAAAATAAAGCCCCCAGCATTGGTGGCACATGCCTTTATTTCCAGCACTTAGGAGGCAAAGGCAGGCAGATCTCTGTGAGTTTGAGGCCAACCTGGTCTACAGAGCTGGTTCCAGGACAGGCTCCAAAGCCACGGAGAAATCCTGTTTGGGACAAGCTGAATGTCTGGGGTGATAGGTATACTAATTATCCTCATCTGATCATTACATGGCAAACGTGCTAAAATGCCACACTATACCCCCCATTTATGTGTAACTGTTGGATGCCAATTAAAAGATCAGACCTTCCAGGCAGTGGTGGTGCACACCTTTAATTCCAGCACCAGGGAGACAGAGACAGGTGGATCTGTAAGTTCCAGGACAGCCAGAACCACCCAAAGAAACACTGTTTCAAAAACCAAAACCAAACCCCTATTAAAGTACCTGGAAAGTAATCCAGAAAGGCTATAACTGAATGGAATAACACTTGGCTAACACACACAAAGCCCTGGGCATGGTCCCTAGTACTGCAAAAAAAAAAAAAAAAAAAAAAAAAAGTTTTGGCCTGGAGTGGTGGCCTACACCTTTAATTCCAAGGCTGACTGAGGAAACAGGTGATTTCTAAGAGTTAAAAGCCAGCCTGGTCTGCATATCAAGATCTTGTCAACTAGCAGGGCAGTAGTAGCTCACACCTTTAATCCCAGTGTTCAGGAAGTAGAGGAAAGTGAATCTGTTTTAAAGGGGAAAAAAGATATTGTCAACTGTCTCCTCAAAAATAAAACATGCATTGCTGTTGTATATAAGAAATGATTTACATCAAGTACCCGGACACAAGGGCAGCTGTTCAGTAAATTCCAGATACCATTTCTACCTTAAACCAAAGTTTAGTCAGATTCTGATTGGCAGTATACTAGATAATAGACCTAAAATCATGACTCAGAGCTTAAATGCTGTCTACATTTCCATTTAGCCAGGCATAAGGCAAATGTCTGAAATTCTAGTATTTGGGATGTAAAGGCAGGACTCCAGTTCAAGGCCAGTCTGGGTTAGTGAGAACCCAGTTTCTAAACAGCTGCTCCAGCAACCAACCCAGGGACAAGATTATTTCATCTAAGAATGTAAAGAGTATATTTTTAAAGAATTGGATTCTCTTCCAGATTCTGTCAATTTCAAAGGAAAACTT